AATAAATTAATACTTTTTAATTGTTCAAAAGTGACAGTAAAGACTTTTACATTGTTACAAAAGATTTCTATTCCATATAAATGCTATTCTTTTGAACTTTCTATTCATCAAAGAATTCTGAAAATATATCACTGTTTCCACAAAAATATTAAGCAGCAGTATTTTCAACATTGATTATAAGAGATGTTTCTTGTGCACCAAATCAGCATATTAGAATGATTTTTTGTAGGATCATGTGACACCGAAGACTGGAGTAATGGCTGCTGAAAATTCAGCTTTGCCATTACAGGAATAAATTACATTTTACAAACATTCAAATAGAAAACAGTTATTTTAAATTGCAATAATATTTCTCAATATTACCATTTTTACTGTATTTTTGATCAAATACATGCAGCTTTGGTGATCATAAGAGACTTATTTCAAAAACATGAAAAACCTTAATGACCCCAACCACATTCATTCAGTGTATTTAGTATGCACATTTGTAATTTTTTAGTACTGCAAATAAAACCCTGATAAAAAATTAAATGCATTTTTGTATGATGTAGGTTTGTTGATTTGCATGTAGACCCTTTGTTTTTGTTGAACTGATATATATATATATATATATATATATATATATATGACAAGAGCACATACCATTACTAAAACCTAAAATGAAGTTAAAATGGAAAAATTAAGGTAATATGGTAGTATTATTTATATACTATTATAGTATTTATTAAAAATAAGTCATATTAATAAATACTATAATAGTACATAAATAATACTACCATAACACTGGCGAGGACCTTCTTAAAATATAAAGACAGCTATATATATATATATATATATAATCAATCAGTATATATATGTTTATTGTGCATGTTAAAACATTGAGTGCACAATTTAATGTTGTTTCTTTCCCATTTTTTTTTCATGCAAGGTTTCCTGTTGGATCCTTTGCCATTCAGAGCATCATCATGTCCGCAACCAGTCAGTTTTCCACAAAAACACATCTCACGGAGGTCTGTTCATCCCCAAAAAAGCATAGCTATGATTAAATAAAAAACAGTAAAGTTTTACTTTGTGTATTTGTACTAGAGTAATGTTTTTTCTCTCGTCCAGACCCAGAACTTCTTCACTTCTCTGGGGACGAAAGGTTCTCAGATGAGGATCGTGCAGGAGGCCATTGAGACCATTAAGCTCAACATGCGATGGATGGAAAAGAACTTGAACACGCTCCAGAGATGGCTGTAGTGTGAGGAGGAGATGGCTCCTCTCTCGTGCCTCTCACTTCCTCAGGTGACGTCACCGGGAACATGCAGGTGTGAGTGATATTACCATCACAACAGCCATAAGTACCATGTTAGGACAAACTCAAGACAGAAGGGCAGATTTACTTAGACGTAAAGGGCCGTTTAAAAACATTTCGGTAACACTTTCTATGAAGCCCATATTTATAATACATTATAAGGGTATTCTTAAGGCATTATAATGAATGCATATTTTTTTTCAGTTGAAATTATTAACTAGCTCACATCAAATCATTATTAGCCTCACAGGGAACACTCAAATAACACTCCACACCTAACCACTTACAAGATGTAGTAAGATACTGTGCAGATCTTAAATAAACAATGTCAAGTTATATAGTCCATTATAAATGTAAAAATAGATTTTGTATGGTGTTCATTGTGTGTTATAAATAATCATAATCTTAAAACTTATAACCACAAATGCGTAAGCATTATAATGTATTATAATTGTTGTTATGATTATTTATAAGATGATATAACATATTATAAGGTCTTTTATAATGCATTATGCATTCATTATAATGCCTTAAGAATACCCTTATAATGTGTTATAAATATGGGCTTCAAAGAAAGTGTTACCAACATTTCTTTTCAGGGCATCTAATAGGGAATTTTCTTGAGTACTCCAGTGAGCTGTGAAGTAGCCAGAAGCTTGCCAGATATCTGCCTGAAAACATTTAGCCTTAAATACTAGCTTATGTAAATGAACAAGTCTGGTTATTAATTGTAAAGCATATGTATATATCCTCCAAGTTCTCCAAGAAACCGTACAGTCAGCATATGATTTCCTGTGTCATAACTTTAGTGTTAGTTGCTGCTTGGGGAAGGTTGATGCGTTGTCTTTTTGCGGTTCACTTGGGGCCCAGCTCAGTATGTGTATGGTTCTGGCCTCAAGCACTATTTGCACTATTCAAAGATTCAGCTTGCTCAGGGCAAATCTGGTTGTTGCTGAAATATCATGATGCATTTAAACCCTTTTAATTAACGTCAGCGGCTACAGACCAAAACCTCCCATCAGTATCTCTTAAATATGCCCTTATCACGAATTGCCAAAAAAAAAAAAAGGAAAATTATGAAAACTGAAAAAAAACTGAAATTATGCTACATGGGTGTCATCACAATCCCTCTTTTTTCTAGATATAAAAGTTTTATTTATGTATGTGGAGGTGAAGTTTTAATCATTTGCATGGTCTGCAATGCTTGAATCCAGCACTGTGTAAATGTTCTTGCCTTAGAGGTAGTGCTGGGCGGTATGACCAAAAATTTATATCACGGTATTTTTCAAAATTATACCGGTTTCACAGTACATGACGGTATTCTTTTTTCATGCATGACCGGGTGTTAACCATATTTTCTACTGATTGAGAGAGGAAATACTGCAGTATATTGACTTAGAATGCCCTATTTTACTGTCATAATGAGTGAATATTGTCAAAAAATACCACACTAAATAGTGACTAAACACGACCCCTTTTAATACATGTTAACCAGGACTCACTCTCATTTATAATCGCGGCATCGTCTGATAAAATCAACATGCATCTAACACTAAAGAGCGGCTATGTGGTTGCTTTGGAGCAACTGAACCATAGTTAAGGTTTATCCAAAAAAGTCGCTAGGTTTGTCAGTATGAATATTCTATGGAAAAAAG